CTTTCAATGCATGGATTTATGCATTTGGGTCAAGGTAGACCAAACATGGAGAAGGCAAGGTCAAAAAGTGTCTTCAGACTTAGGCTTCATTAGAATTCTGTTTACTGCATTCTAACAAATAAATAGTACTCTAATCTACTTTAACATTACTAAATGACTCCTCTCAAATGTACTTCTTTCTCTAGGTATGTCACACACCCTAACTGACTCTGCCCATGCTGTGCTATTTACACCCTGTGAGGAGCATCTCCTTGACATTGTCTCATGATTGCTCCAGGGTCCTAAACCCCTTACCCAGCCACACAGATGCTGACACTTCAGGGTTATCCTGGGAGGTTCCACAAATTAAAAGATTAATCTCCAGGGCCAGCCCAGTAGAAAAGTCACGGGAGGAAGAGGAAAGTGTGCCATTTTTATTTCAACGCTTTAACTTACTAGTTGTAAAAGTAATGAAGAAGGCACTTGGGCTGAATTATTGGTGACAGGAGGTCTCCAGTAGTACATCCAAACAGAGTTGGCAACAGCAATGACTGATAGCGACTGAACAGTGCCATTGGTCAAACATAAGTTTAAGATAAGATGTGGCTTGTCCTCAAATTGTCAGAATATTTTTAAAGATACTCAATGGAAGGTTTTCACTCCCATATGAGGGTGAATATACAAGTAGGTGGGCAGGAATATTCATGCCATTGGTTTGTATGCCCATTTGCCAGCACTGCCCTGCCCTGGAGACTTTGAACCAAAGTTGGAAGCATTAATGGAGGTGAATAAGCAGCCTGTTCGGTGCTGTTGCCTAGACTTTAAAAAGGTAGGAACTAATTAGACGGGAAGCAATTGTAGGTCTGAGGTGTCCCAGTGGTGCCACATTCATGCTGCAGTGGGATGTCAGCTTTTGTGTAGAACACCAGCTTCAGCAGAATTTTGGTCAGGTATGGTAGTTGTACGAAAGACAAAGAGCTCACTTCCTTCCAAGCCTGAAGTGCAATTATTTCAAAAGCCCAGGAACAAAAAGGCAACCAGACCACATTACATGGCTGAATAATGTCAATCACAGAAGCGTTATGATGCAAAAAAAGGAGGTCATTCAGCCCACAAACTCAAGGTCTGCTGGCCCCCAGGTGGTGTTGCGTAGCAGGATGTTGGTGGCAGAACAGATAGCCGTCCTCAGCTGTCTGGCTACAGCTGTAGTCATACTTTTTTCCCCATATTCATCCCCCTTTCCAGAATGTTATTACACATCTCTGGCGTAGGGGGACTGAAACTATAAACATTGTAATCAATCTGTTCAGGAGATGTTACAACATATCTCTGGTACAGATGGGATTTAAACCCGGGTCTCCCGGCTCAGAGGTAGGGACACTAACAGCGTACCACAGGAGCCCCTCAACTGCAAGGCCATCAGCTGGCGTTCTCTCTCTGCAGTGGTGACCTGGCTGCTGAAGCCATTTCAGAACTGAAAACTTTTCAAAGGATGCATCAAGAAAATTAGAGATAGGATGAATTCAAAGGTGCATCATGATAGTGGCACCTTCTCCTTTCCCTTGTATGAACAGCAGCGTCAGTGTTGAAGAGGCTCCGATTGGTCCCTCCAGCTTCTACATCCCACCCTGTCACTGCCATTTGGCCAATCTGGAGAAAAGAGATCCACTGAGTGGCGAGTGTTTCTGACACAGCATGGAGTCATGACCTTCATTTCACCCTGCCATCATTATCCTGATCCAGAATCTAAAATCCTGACCCTGTGTAGCCTTTGGACGAAGTGGGTTCCAATTTGCTGCTGTGGGTTGGAGGCAATGCAGTAGCACTGATAGCAGGGCACAATGGTAGATGCAAGTCATCCTTTTCAATTATAGGGTCAGAGCTGAGTGGAAAAGTGCCAAGCTGAGTGGCAAGAAGGGTATTCAACCCATTACCATTTAACATGAAGAGGAACAGGTTTGAACATAGGAAAGTAGAGCAGGAATAGACCTTCCAGCCCATCCAACAAGATTATGGCAGATCTTCCATCTCAATACCATCTTTCTGCACTATCCTCATATCCTTTGATATCTACCAATCTGCCTCAAACATACTCATTGACTGAGTCTCCATAGCCCTCTGGGGTTAAATACCCACCAAATAAAGAAATTTTTCCTCATGTGTGATTTAAACGGTTTACCTATTATTCCAACACTTTGTCCCCTGGTTATAGACTCCCCACCCCAGGAGCCAAGCAAAATGCCTACCCTATCACAATTATTGATCCTTCAATGAAGTCACCTCTCATTTTTATCATGTTTAGAGGATACAGGCCAAATGCCTTTTTGATATCCCAATGATCTGTCTGTTGAATCATCAGGGCCCTATCTCTAATTTTCTTGAATTCATTCATGGGATGTGGGCATCACTGGCTAAGCCAGCATGTATTGCCCATCCTAAATTACCCAAGAGTTAATCACATCCAGTTTCCAATCCAACACCAGACTAGGTAATTATATGACATTCGAGAGCCAGTATGGGTTTCTACAACATGGTTACCTTTAACTTTTTATTGAATTCAAATTTCACCATCTGCCATGGTGGGATTCAAACCCATCTCCCCAGAACTTTGATCTGGGGTTTTGGAGTACCACACTGATGACATTTCCACTGCACCACTATCACCCCATGATGGCAGGTTTACATCTCAAGTTTTATCCAGCTGGGAGGCGCCCTTACACTACACCAGGACAAATCCATTGGGCTCTGTGCAAGTGTAAAAGGTGCTCATAGCTAAACAATGGATAAAACACTCAAACTAGCAAATGCATAGGGTACTGTCTTACACCGAACATGACTAACCAAGGCAGCAGTATTATCACCTCTTTTCAAGAGCAAGTCTATTTATTAAAGATCTGTTTTACAGATGCATTTGGGCCTCCTAAAAAACTGAACAGAATCCAAATCATTAACCCTGGCATCTCATTTTGATTTCCGTTTATTTTACAGAGAGCTAGTTTGGTTTCAATATTCAGACCTTAATGACCTCCGCAGGGGAACTAGATGAGAGGAGATATTAGACCTGACATTAATCGGGGCTGCTCCATTAGACTACACAACTGCAATAAACCTGCTTAATAATAAATTCAGCTTCATTCACTCAACACATTCCCCCAAGAATTCTAAACAATGTTTAAAATGAGAAAAATCACAAGAAAACAAAACATTAAAGAATGTCAAATTTAAACGCTAAATTTTTTCTAGCTTTTCTTTTGAAAAGGGGGCCACAGATGGTAAGATTTCCACATTTATCAGAAGCCTGATTGAGTGACTTCTCTAATTGAAGGTCATAACAACGAGACTACACAAACGCTGGAAGAAAACTTCAAGCTATGTTTGATAAAGGAGGAAATAAATTTCCCCTGCACCAGTTACTGGGACAAACTTCCCCTTTGCTAATCACATTGGCAAATTTTCCCTTTGCTCGCCCCTGGGGCAAATTTCCCTTGTCCCAATCACTGCGGCAAATTTGCCCTTCGCTAATCACGTTGGCAAATTTCCCCTGTGCTATTCACTGGGGCAAATTTGCCCCATGCTAGTCATTGAGGCAAATTTCCCTTGTGCCAGTCACGGAGGCAAATTTCCCACGCTAGTCACTGGAGAAAATTTGCTCTGCATTAGAATGAACCCCAATATTTAGAGACATTTTTATAGCATCAGCTTAGATGACTAACAAGCCTCGGCAAATATCTCTAACACAGTTGATGTTGATGAAGAATAAGAACATTGACTACAATGGGACCATTCTATGCACATTATCCTAAGATTGTTCCTGGGCTCAGTAAGAATTTGCAGTGGGCAAATTCCTCAGACTGATTGTGCTGAGTTGAATTTCTTGTAACAGAAGTGTGATGTGTACCATGTTAAATTGGCAATTTAACTGGCAGAGTGCAAGGAGAGTTTCCCACCTTATATTGTTCTTGGAGGCAAAACAAAAGAGAAAGCTAAAAATCTTCCAATTTCCTTAAAAGGTACTTTTTGACTCCGATGCAGACAGACGTAGTCCCACCCGAGGATCAATAAACACCTCAGCTTCTCTGCATCACAATAAAAAACTGTATCGAGATTGGGTCATGTCATAATAAAAGCAAAGTATTGCAGATGTCAGAGGTCTGAAATAAAAACCGCAGACTGAACTTCCAAAGAAGGGTCATACTGGACGCGAAACGTTAACTCTGTTTCTCTCTCCACAGATGCTGCCAGACCAGCTGAGTTTCTCCAGCATTCTCTGTTTCGATTTTCAGTTTAACTATGATCTTGTCCCTGGGGCTATACAGGGCAAGATCACACGGCAACATTCCCTGACTAGGTAAACTCACCAATGAATGGAATACTGGCCACCCTTAATTAAGAAAGGAGAAATTTCTTCTCCCTTGGAGATGCTTCATAAATCATTGGGATTCTCTGCCCCAGTGAGCAGTACTGGCTTTGACATCGAATATATTCAAGGTTGTGTTTGACATTAACAAAGGAGTTAAGGGGGTCAGACAGGAAAGTGGAATGAAGGCCACAATCAGATCAGCCATGATTTTACGGATGACGGAGCAGGCTCAAAAGGGCCTAATGCTTATGCTCTTGATTCAACTACCGTACAAATCACTGCTTGTTGCTTCACACCCAAAGCTGTTCCAATTTGGAATTCACTGCCTAGGACGCTAAGGCTAGACACAGCTCCAGAAGAGTCTCTGGAGAATCAGCAGCCCAGAGGAAACTGAGACCCGACTACACGCTATTTTGTTATTGGCTCCAAGTGAAGCTTTCAGGTGGTGGGCTCCTACTCCTCACCACCCTCTGGACAAGGCCCAAGCCAGTCTGCAGAGAGACATGCATCTACTTTACTGCAGCCTGGAAACCTAAACTTGCTGCACACTTCAGGCCCACATCTTGGTTCTTTCATCAGTGCAGGGCTCCCTGTAGCATTGCTGAGTCTCTCGCTGGAGGCTGTGGGGTTTGGCCATCCTGACTGCTAGTACCGTTCTCACCTGGGATCACATCTGAAGCTTCCTCTTCCGTCTCTTGCAACGGACCAGCAACACCTGAAAATAAGGAATAAATGTGGGTTAAGTGCGGATCACAGAGTGGAAGAGGTCAACCACAATTAGATTACTGCAGCCCAAGGCTGTATCAGTCATGATAATGCTGGTGAGGATGGACAGTGCTGTCATACTGAAACATATATGGTACATGAATTTTCACAACAATGTAGCATGCATGTGATGGATGAGAAAATAATTCAATCCCTTACCCAGCCCCAGCACTTCCTCCTGCTTGTCTTTTGACTCGATGGTCCCACCACAGATCGTCACTCTATCCTCTCCAGGTGGAGCAATGTCAGGGTCTTCTCCTCAGATCTGTCTCTTGATGTTTGCCAAATTCTTCTTTTAAGGCCCTTCTTTGTTCCCAATTCTTCATTGGCCAACCCCATCTAAAGTCATTGCGGACACAACAATTTCATTGGGAGGGGGTGGAGGTTGGGTTAAGATGGCAAAGGGTTGGAGGAACTTGGTTGAACTTTGAGGTGGTGGAGGACAAGGACAGCATCTGGACCCACAGACGTCTTGTTTTCCTTTTGACGTTGCCTCCACTAGCAACTCAAATCTTCAAACTTTCCTGCGTGGGGGATGGGCTGCAAATATTGACACACTCCAGTGATCCTTTGTTTACTTACTAGCAATACTGTTGCTGCTTAATAAAGAAAGATTTTCTGAAATAATGGCAAATATTGACACACTCCCAAGATCCTTTGCAAACATTGACACATTCCCATGTTCCTCTGCAGACGCATTCACAGGAACTGCTATCTATATAATGACTAGACTCAAGTACTGTGTGCAAATGGCAAAACTCTCCCAGGACGCTTGGTCAAAAAGCAGTGGCACCATTGCAGAAAATGTTTCTTATAGAGCCACAACAGAATGGTTAGTAAGTCAACAAAGAAGCTAAAAGGTAAAATAAAGTCACCATAGTCCCAGAGGCCCACACTCTTATTACGAGACACACAACTGGTGGTGGTTTAACCTGGAGTTCACCACACCTCAGATGAGGGGAGATATTGAGAAGCAGAGTCCTCAATGATAACCTCAGCTGGTTGAACTCAGGTTGTTGGGTTACTCTGTATCTCAAACCACCCATCTGAGCTAACTGACAACGTGAAATAAAAATGCAGACTTCGCGAGAGATGGTGCTCACACAGTGATATGTTCAATATTAATCTGCGTTTCAAACACCAGTGGAGCGAGTCACACTGTTCCCTGTTTTTCACCTGTTGTGTACCTGATGGGCAGTATATATCCACACAAAGTAACAGGGACCCCTCCCCTCCAAATGTCTTGGTGAAAATATTCTGCATGTGCATAAAATGCCTTGCCTAACAGACACCGCTGGCACCATTCCTGATACCCTCAGTGCACTATTGATCTTCAAGCAGTCTCCTACAGTCAGACCCTTAAATGTAGATCTCAATTCACCAAAGATCGAGAGACAGCACCTTCCAAACGCACAACCTCTACTACCTAGTAGGACAAGCGCAGCAGGATATTTGGGAACTTCCCCTCTGATCCACTCACTAGCCTGACTTGGAAATATATTGGAGCTCCCTCCATGTTGGTCAAAATCTTGGAACTCCCAGCTAAGGGAATTGTGGGTCTGCAAGTGGACTACAATGATTCAAGAAGACAGCTCACCACCACTTTCACAAGGGACAGCTAGGTATAGGCAATAAATGCTAGCCCAGTCAGCAATGCTTACATCCTATAAGTGAATATTAGAAATAAAGTCCTTTTAAATAAAATGCCATTTACTGGGATATGGTTAAATCTCATGGGTCGGAAGAGTTTACAGCCATTCATCCCATTGGGTCTGTACTAGCTCCTCGAAGGAGCAATCCAATTTTGTCCTGTGTCAATGGGGATGGTCTCTCCACCAGCTCAGGAATTCAAAGTGAGATGCTATTAAGAGGGAATGAAAATTGAGACAATGCTACTGTTATAAGCAAAGCGTTAATCGTGAACAGGCAGTCAACTCAGAGAAACAGACTTTGGTATCGAAATTTTCTGGGAGTAGTTCTCCGACATCGTCTGTGTCATAACTTTGGCGCTGACCATGGCGCAGCAGGAAGAGAGAGGCAGCAAGGGCCACTTCTCTGAATTTTCTGCCCAATTGCAGCAGAACGTTAGGACGGACCTTTGCAGAAATTCCATCCCTGCAACCCCAGAATGGGATCACCAGTCTAGAGTTATTTCTGTGTGTCTGATCTGTGAGGGCCCATCGCACATTAGAGTTATTTTTCATTCATTCATTGGATGACAAAAATCACTAGCTAGGCCAGCATTTATTGCCCATCCCTAATTGGAAAGAGCCAACCATATTGTTGTGGGTCTGGAGTCACATGTGGGCCAGACCAGGTAAGGATGGCAGCTTCCTTCCCTAAATGGACATTAATAGACTGGATGGGCTTTTCCAACAATTGATAATGGATTCTAGGTCATCATCAGACCCTTCATTCCAGATTTTTTTTTTTTTTTTTTTTTTAAAAAAAGCTGAATTCAAATTCCACCATCTGCCATGGCAGTATTTGAACCTGGGTCTCCAGAACATTTCCTGGGTCTCTGAGCCAACAGTCCAGTGATAGTACCAAAAGGCCATTGCCTCCCCATTCAGAGTAGAAAGAATGGCATTGCCCAGATAGGCTGAATGGCCTGCTTCTGTCTGCTTGTTTTAATTTGAATTCAGAAAGAAACGTAGGAAATATGCAGCCAAAGTGGGTGACAATGAGAAAAAGAGTAACATTATTGAAGATCTACAGCGCATTGATGGTTAACAATACTGCTGTAGTATATTTTCAATTAAACAGCAAAGGAATAGCACAGCTACATCAGAATCAAAGCATTGATCAGAGAATTGTCTCTGGGAAAATGGCTCAGCTGATTCTGAAGGCAAATGTGTTAATTCTTCTTTTCTGTACACAGCAAGATCCCAGAGAGCCAAGACCACCCCACTGCCCATCAAGTTTATCCATTTTCTAACACTGTCGGTTGAGCAAGGAATTCAAGTCCATTCCTGCCTCCCCCTTTTGATAAGGTCATGGATGATCAGACAATGATCTCTACACCACTTTCCCACCTGCTCCCCCACTGTCACATCAGCCTTGACTCCCTGTCGATCTAAAGTCTATTGAGCTCAGCTATGAACATATACAACAGTGCCATCTCTACTACATTCTGGGGAAGAAAATTCCACACCATCCCCGGAGAAACGTTTCCTCCCGATCTCAGTCTTCAATGGAAGAGCCTTAATTCTCAAGCTAGTTCCTAGCTTCCCCAAAAGCGGGGTCATGGTCTCAGCCAGCCCCTCACAACCATAAGACCTTAAGGCACAGGAACAGAAGTAGGCCATTTGCTTGATCAAGTATGTTCTATCATTCAATAAGATTAGGGCAGATCTGACAATTCTCAACTCAGCTTCCCGGGTCTTTTCCCCACAATCCTCGATTCCCTTCCTGATTAAAAATCTGTTTATCTCAGCCTTGAATATACTTAATCATTACTGCCCTCTGCAGAAAAGAGTTCCACAGATGAAAAATGCCTGCTCATCTCTGTCTTAAATAAGTGACGTTCTTCTCTGGGATGATGTCCTCTGGTCCCAGACTCTCCCACAAATTCTCTGTGTCTACCCTGGCAAGCCGCCCTGAGAATCCTACATATTTCAATAAGGTCACCTCTCATTCTTCTCAACTCCAATGAGTGCAGGCCCAAACTACTCAACCTCTGCTCATAAGAAGTCCCTCCAAATCCAGGATCATCCCAGTGAACCTTCTGTGGACTGCCTCCAAAGTCTGTATGTACATCTTTCCCTAGACAAGAAGATCGAACTGCTCATAGTATTCCGGCTGTGGTCTTACTAATGCCTGGTATAGTTTGAGACAATTTTCGATTTTCCTAATCTATTCCCTTTGAAATAAAAACACCAATCATTCCATCTATTAAAAGACCAATCATTCCATCTATTACCTGCTGAATTTGAATACGAGCTTGCTGGGAATTTACGGACAGAGGAGGGTTTTGTGATCTATGAAGGAGGATCTTAACGTGTTTCAATCCGATCGCTTCTCAGAGACTCCAATCAGTACAGGTCCAACCTTGCTCCATCAGTTAACCCCATGCAAACCCACAATCAGGCAGACTGCGGTTTACAGAGGCTGATAGCCTTCCCAGTCAATGGGCTGTTACTATTTGCAACGGGGGAAGAGGCACAGGCAGCGGCTCCGGGACCCAGAAGGGTTAACACAGACAGCAAAAAGAGTGCGGGGGGGGGGGGGGGGGGGGG